ATGTTCTCAACACATCAACACAAACATCACATCTGATCATGTTCTCAACACATCAACACAAACATCACATCTGATCATGTTCTCAACACTTCAACACAAACATCACATCTGATCATGTTCTCGAAACATCAACACAAACATCACATCTGATCATGTTCTTGAAACATCAACACAAACATCACATCTGATCATGTTCTCGAAACATCAACACAAACATCACATCTGATCATGTTCTCAACACATCAACACAAACATCACATCTGATCATGTTCTCAACACATCAACACAAACATCACATCTGATCATGTTCTCAACACATCAACACAAACATCACATCTGATCATGTTCTCAACACTTCAACACAAACATCACATCTGATCATGTTCTCGAAACATCAACACAAACATCACATCTGATCATGTTCTCGAAACATCAACACAAACATCACATCTGATCATGTTCTCAACACATCAACACAAACATCACATCTGATCATGTTCTCAACACTTCAACACAAACATCACATCTGATCATGTTCTCAACACATCAACACAAACATCACATCTGATCATGTTCTCAACACTTCAACACAAACATCACATCTGATCATGTTCTCAACACATCAACACAAACATCACATCTGATCATGTTCTCAACACATCAACACAAACATCACATCTGATCATGTTCTCAACACATCAACACAAACATCACGTCTGATTATGTTCTCAACACATCAACACAAACATCACATCTGATCATGTTCTCAACACATCAACACAAACATCACATCTGATCATGTTCTCAACACATCAACACAAACATCACATCTGATCATGTTCTCAACACATCAACACAAACATCACATCTGATCATGTTCTCAACACATCAACACAAACATCACATATGATCATGATCTCAACACATCAACACAAACATCACATCTGATCATGTTCTCAACACATCAACACAAACATCACATATGATCATGTTCTCAACACTTCAACACAAACATCACATCTGATCATGTTCTCAACACATCAACACAAACATCACATCTGATCATGTTCTCAACACATCAACACAAACATCACATCTGATCATGTTCTCAACACATCAACACAAACATCACATCTGATCATGTTCTCAACACATCAACACAAACATCACATCTGATCATGTTCTCAACACATCAACACAAACATCACGTCTGATCATGTTCTCAACACATCAACACAAACATCACATCTGATCATGTTCTCAACACATCAACACAAACATCACATCTGATCATGTTCTCAACACATCAACACAAACATCACATCTGATCATGTTCTCAACACATCAACACAAACATCACATCTGATCATGTTCTCAACACATCAACACAAACATCACATCTGATCATGTTCTCGAAACATCAACACAAACATCACATCTGATCATGTTCTCAACACATCAACACAAACATCACATCTGATCATGTTCTCAACACATCAACACAAACATCACATCTGATCATCAACACAAACATCACATCTGATCATGTTCTCGAAACATCAACACAAACATCACATCTGATCATGTTCTCAACACATCAACACAAACATCACATCTGATCATGTTCTTAACACATCAACACAAACATCACATCTGATCATCAACACAAACATCACATCTGATCATGTTCTCAACACATCAACACAAACATCACATCTGATCATGTTCTCGAAACATCAACACAAACATCACATCTGATCATGTTCTCGAAACATCAACACAAACATCACATCTGATCATGTTCTCAACACATCAACACAAACATCACATCTGATCATGTTCTCAACACATCAACACAAACATCACATCTGATCATGTTCTCAACACATCAACACAAACATCACATCTGATCATGTTCTCAACACATCAACACAAACATCACATCTGATCATGATCTCAACACATCAACACAAACATCACATCTGATCATGTTCTCAACACATCAACACAAACATCACATCTGATCATGTTCTCAACACATCAACACAAACATCACATCTGATCATGTTCTCAACACATCAACACAAACATCACATCTGATCATGTTCTCAACACATCAACACAAACATCATGTCTGATCATGTTCTCAACACTTCAACACAAACATCACATCTGATCATGTTCTCAACACATCAACACAAACATCACATCTGATCATGTTCTCAACACATCAACACAAACATCATGTCTGATCATGTTCTCAACACATCAACACAAACATCACATCTGATCATGTTCTCAACACATCAACACAAACATCACATCTGATCATGTTCTCAACACATCAACACAAACATCATGTCTGATCATGTTCTCAACACATCAACACAAACATCACATCTGATCATGTTCTCAACACATCAACACAAACATCACATCTGATCATGTTCTCAACACATCAACACAAACATCACATCTGATCATGTTCTCAACACTTCAACACAAACAGAATGCTTGAAGAACGACACAATCTGAATGCTCCATTAGCGTCCATAAAAACATTTTAAAAACTGTTCGGTAATGTTTAAAATAATGTTTTCATTCCTCAGCGGGAACAGTAGCGTAACGTTCTTGAGCAGTGTTGTGTGGATCTGAGGAACACCTGTGATTCGCTGATCTCTCATCCGTCACGAGGACAGCAGAAGCTTCTGAATTATTAACCCGAAGGTCAAAGGTCAGAGCAAAGGTCACAGGAGCACTTCTGATGAGAGGCAGCAGGTTCAGCGTCCGAACCAAACGAGATGGAGGAGCGAAAACATCAGATGTTAAAGCAGTCTCAGATCAGCCACAGTTGTGTTGTGTTTTAAAAGCAGTCTCAGATCAGCCACATGATGTCATACAGGAAAACCAAAGAGTGCAACGTTTGAGCGAAAGTCCATTTCTCATTGCTGTCCATACGAATCTGTGCGTCAGGAGTGTTGTTCAGTTGTGTTGTGTTGTGTTCAGTTGTGTTGTGTTGTGTTGTGTTGTGTTCAGTTGTGTTGTGTTGTGTTCAGTTGTGTTGTGTTCAGTTGTGTTGTGTTCAGTTGTGTTGTGTTGTGTTCAGTTGTGTTGTGTTCAGTTGTGTTGTGTTGTGTTGTGTTGTGTTCAGTTGTGTTGTGTTGTGTTCAGTTGTGTTGTGTTCAGTTGTGTTGTGTTCAGTTGTGTTGTGTTCAGTTGTGTTGTGTTGTGTTGTGTTCAGTTGTGTTGTGTTGTGTTCAGTTGTGTTGTGTTTAGTTGTGTTGTGTTCAGTTGTGTTGTGTTGTGTTCAGTTGTGTTGTGTTGTGTTCAGTTGTGTTGTGTTCAGTTCAGTTGTGTTGTGTTGTGTTCAGTTCAGTTGTGTTGTGTTCAGTTGTGTTGTGTTCAGTTGTGTTGTGTTCAGTTCAGTTGTGTTGTGTTGTGTTTAGTTCAGTTGTGTTGTGTTCAGTTCAGTTGTGTTGTGTTCAGTTGTGTTTTGTTCAGTTGTGTTGTGTTGTGTTCAGTTCAGTTCAGTTGTGTTGTGTTCAGTTGTGTTGTGTTGTGTTCAGTTCAGTTGTGTTGTGTTCAGTTGTGTTGTGTTGTGTTCAGTTGTGTTGTGTTCAGTTCAGTTGTGTTGTGTTCAGTTCAGTTGTGTTGTGTTCAGTTGTGTTGTGTTGTGTTCAGTTGTGTTGTGTTCAGTTCAGTTGTGTTGTGTTCAGTTCAGTTGTGTTGTGTTCAGTTCAGTTGTGTTGTGTTGTGTTCAGTTGTGTTGTGTTCAGTTCAGTTGTGTTGTGTTCAGTTCAGTTGTGTTGTGTTCAGTTCAGTTGTGTTGTGTTCAGTTGTGTTGTGTTGTGTTCAGTTGTGTTGTGTTGTGTTCAGTTCAGTTGTGTTGTGTTCAGTTCAGTTGTGTTGTGTTCAGTTGTGTTGTGTTGTGTTCAGTTGTGTTGTGTTCAGTTCAGTTGTGTTGTGTTCAGTTGTGTTGTGTTCAGTTGTGTTGTGTTCAGTTGTGTTGTGTTCAGTTGTGTTGTGTTCAGTTCAGTTGTGTTGTGTTCAGTTCAGTTGTGTTGTGTTCAGTTGTGTTGTGTTGTGTTCAGTTGTGTTGTGTTGTGTTCAGTTGTGTTGTGTTGTGTTCAGTTATGTTGTGTTCAGTTGTGTTGTGTTGTGTTCAGTTCAGTTGTGTTGTGTTCAGTTGTGTTGTGTTCAGTTGTGTTGTGTTCAGTTGTGTTGTGTTGTGGTTCTTGATTCCCTGTGTTCTTCAATTTGTTGATTAGTTGACCTGTCGTATCATTAATGATCTCATTAGTTCCGTGTGTTTAAACCCTGAGTTCTGCTTCATTCTCTCTGTTCTCGTCAGCGCAGTTTGTGATTGTTTGGTGGTTTCTCTCTGAGAGTGAGGGAGAGAGAGAGTGCGAGTGTGTGTGTGTTCATGCCACGACAAGTTCTTCTGCTTCTGTCTCTGTGAACAGGGAATGAAGGGAATTGCGACTAAACTCTGGATGTGGGAAATGTTGACATTGAACGTGACAGTATTGATGATATCCGGTCTCGAGCAGATCGATCACGCTATTGATCACAGATCCTGCAGGAACACTAATGCCTTTACAATCACCGCTTACATCAACTACACAATACTGCTGCTTTTAACTACATTAGTGTGTATCCCTTACACACACACACGCATTTTCTAGCCTGTCTGTCTGTTGTGATGGTGAGACAGGTGAGTGTTTAATTCTTACTGGATGGGTGTTCTTCAAGTGGACCTGAGAGAGTATTTTTGTCAGGACCAAAATGTGTGTGTGTGTGTGTGTTGCATGTCTAAATTAAAATAAAAAATGTCTTAAAATAAAATGAATATAGAGAGATGAAGCCTACTATGTGTGGCACGTGTTGTGTGTGTGTGTGTGTGTGAGACAGAGAGAGAGGCTCCGCCCCCTCTGCAGGAGTTTCGTCGCGTTGCTTCAGTCTGATCAGATCACAGGCACGCACTGCCTCTCTCTCTCACACACACACTCTCTCTCTGTGAATGAACACACACACGCGTGTCTTCTGTGGGATCTAGTTGCTCGGATGTGTCTCTGCTGTCTGCTGTTCCACTGCAGGTGAGTGAGGCGAGCTGTTCTGTCACGCGTGGTTCTAGATTCAGAATAAACCGGAACGCATCTTTGATCTGGATCCGCGGAACCGGATCAAGATTCAGATCGATTCCAAACGGACGCGCGCATCTGGTTTATGTTGTTGATTCCAGATTAATTCATTCATTGATGTGAACGTGGATTTGACTCCAAGCGGACGCCATATGGACTCGCCCTTTAACGCGTGTTTATGATGGGCTAATGTGTTTCTGAACGCGCGCGCGACGCGATATAACGCGTGTTTATGATGGGCTGATGTGTTTCTGAACGCGCGCGCGCGCGACGCGATATAACGCGCGTGTTGTTGATTGACATTCCAATTTCTGTAGCGTGTAAACAGACGTGAACTTGTTTCCGACACGGAATTAAAAATAAAAATGGCATTTAAAATCTCACAATCAATTAGTATGACATTTCTCGCAATTGCAAGTTTATAGCCTATCTCACAATTCTGACTTTTTTTAAAGTCCAAATTCCGAGATATAGCCTAGCCTACAATCGCAATTCTGCAGAAAAAGAAAACATTATAATCCGTGGCAGAAACAATTGCTTCCATAGAAGTTTGAGTGTGTAATCTGATAATCAATTTACCATGGTAATTATAGTTTCTACCATGCAATATTTGCTATTGTTATTATGATTGTAAACTTGACTGGATCTTCAACCAAGATTCAGATTCTCCATCTTTTTTGTTGTTGTTTTGTTTGTTTATTGTTTTCTGGTTATACTACCACATTTTCACAACACTTACTGTATAACTTTGGTTAAAGTGAAGTTGAGTTGCGTTTAACTCTCTTAACTCTGTCATTCTGAGCCGAACACATTAGTGTGCTTTGATTAGCAGTAACACACTCCTCATGTGTGATCTGATGACAGTGAGTGTGAGCTGTGTTCAGGTGTGTTTGACACTCAGGAAGGGTTCGAGGTTCTCTCGTCTCTACCCTTCCCCCTGCACTGCATCTGAAGGCCAACACATGCATTGTTCACAAGTGTTTTCAGCTGCTGTGGGAACAAAGAGCTTCTCCTTCTCCTGTTGTGTCTTGGGTTTTGACTTGTCAAACTTGTTGCCAGTGAGTCTAACGGCGCGACTCGACCCACATTCCCCTCGACACTCGACCTGCCCTGAGCAAACCCTGAGCAAACACTGAGCAAACCCTGAGCAAACACTTAACCTGCGTCCGACTCTTTACCAGGCTTTACGTGTCGTTAAACTTCTGCTAGTTGAAGATTAAGAGCTGATTCTGGATCACCTGGAGTATACATTGCTGATATATGGAATATTCATGATACACTGTATATTTTTTGCTGCCAATGTAAAACTAAGCAACATTTGATCCTCTTTTTATTTAGATATTTAGGCCTGGTTTCACAGACCTGGTTTAGATTTAGCCAGGATTAGGCTTTAGTTCAACTAGATAAAAAAAGTTTGTAGATGAACTTTATGTTGGCTTGAGAAAGTCGGACCAGAGAGTTTGAAGAAGTTGAAGTTTAAAGTAGTTTAAAGCTTAAAGTTTGATAGATAGATAGATAGATAGATAGATAGATAGATAGATAGATTAGAAATAGTTACCACAATTAACCACGTTGCTAGCATGATTTACTACGATTGATCTCGTTGCTAGCTTGATTTAGCATGATTTACCACATTGCTAGCATGATTTACCATGATTTACTACATTGCTAGCATGATTTACCACATTGCTAGCTTGATTTAGCATGATTTACCACATTGCTAGATTGATTTACCACATTGCTAGCATGATTTACCACGTTGCTGGCATGATTTACCACGTTGTCAACATGATCTACCATGATTTAACACGTTGCTGGCATGATTTACCACGTTGCTAGCATGATTTTCCATGATTTACACGTCGCTAGCATGATTTACCACGATTTACCTCGTTGCTAGCATGATTTAAAAACGCTGTCAACATGATCTACCATGATTTACCACGTTGCTAACATGATTTACCACGTTACTAGCATGATTTACCATGATTTACACGTTGCTAGCATGATTTACCATGATTTACCTCGTTGCTAGCATGATTTAACACGTTGCTAGCATGATTTAACCCGTTGCTAGCATGATTTACCATGATTTACCATGTTGCTAGCATGATTTAACACGATGCTAGCATAATTTACCACGTTGTTGGCATGATTTACCATGATTTACCACGTCGCTAGCATGATTTACCACGATTTACCTCGTTGCTAGCATGATTTACCACGCTGTCAACATGATCTACCATGATTTACCACGTCGCTAGCATGATTTACCACGTTGTCAACATGATCTACCATGATTTACCACGTTGCTAGCATGATTTTCCATGATTTACACGTCGCTAGCATGATTTACCACGATTTACCTCATTGCTAGCATAATTTACTACGCTGTCAACATGATCTACCATGATTTACCACGTTGCTAACATGATTTACCACGGTGCTAGCATGATTTATCATGATTTACACGTTGCTAGCATGATTTACCATGATTTACATGTCGCTAGCATGATTTACCATGATTTACCTCGTTGCTAGCATGATTTAACACGTTGCTAGCATGATTTAACCCGTTGCTAGCATGATTTACCATGATTTACCATGTTGCTAGCATATTTAACACAATGCTAGCATGATTTAACTCGTTGCTAGCATGATTTACCACGATGCTAGCATGATTTAACTTGTTGCTGGCATGGTTTACCATGATTTACCTCGTTGCTAGCATGATTTAACACGTTGCTAGCATGATTTAACCCGTTGCTAGCATGATTTACCATGATTTACCATGTTGCTAGCATGATTTAACTCGTTGCTAGCATGATTTACCACGATGCTAGCATGATTTAACTTGTTGCTGGCATGATTTACCACGATTTACCTCGTTGCTAGCATGATTTAACACCTTGCTAGCATGATTTACCATGATTTGCCACGTAATTTACAAGATTAAATGAGACGTGTTTTAAGATAAGCTTTCAGTTAAACAACTCATGCATTTCAGTCTGGGACTAGTTTAAGCCTCGTCTGTGAAACCGGGCAAAACATTAGATTCGATAGTTTCTATCAGACTGTTTTCATTTATGAATCTAGCTCTGCACTGTAAAAAAAATCTGTTAAATTTACGGCAATAAAACGGCAGCTGAGGTTGCCAGAAGTTTACTGTAAAGAATACGGTAGCAACATTTTAGGTTTTACAGACTTAACATAAATGTACAGTATGTAGTATTTTACTGTTTACGTATATAGCACTGAAACTTTCTGTTCTCCAATAGACTGTTTTTCGCCGTTAAAAGCTGGATTTTTCAGTATTTTACAGTATGGTCCATGCGACTCTTTAACGTTTGCAAAATACGCAACACATTTAACATGCAAATATTTAATCTCTGTAACGCATGAATGGTTTCAGTGTCTGCTTTTAAGAAATCTTTCTGAATATTGATTACCCATATGTGACTCATTTTTAGACTCTTAATGAATAAATCATCATCGCTTGTTTACTCGATGTCGCCGCAGTTGCTGTGAGTATTTAAAGAGTCCGCTGGTTAGAACAGGAAGTCATGTGACCTGGTTAAACAGGAAGTCATGTGACCCGTTTAAAATAACATGCGTGAGCCTGTGAGCGCCTGACCTCACGCATGAGCTTCTCCGTGCTTCATTCGCTGGGAGAGGTCAGTCTCAGGTTATGATTCATTTTCCTTTGGAAATAATGGAGATTGTCGGGCATAAGGATGATTCTTCAGGAGTCATTTCCCACATCCTCGTCACTCGTCCCGAAGAGGATCTGTCATGCTCTTACACTCTCCTCAGTGTGTGATGTTGCTGTTTAAGCTCCAGTTCTCCTCTATATCAGTGTCAGTGTTTCTGAACTCCTGAAACGCCTCCATTGTAGTCTCGAGTTTCTTCCGGGAACACGTCACAATATTCCTCATAATTCATACACAGAATAAAGGGGCGGGGCCTGGTGGAGTTAGTTAGTAGTGTGTTAAACTGGTGGTTATGGAAAGGGGCGGGGCATTTCCCAAACACACTCGAAGCGCTCGACCAATCACAACACACTGCTCCAGCCGACCAATCAGAGCACAGTGTGCTTTTCAGAAGGAGGGGCTTCATAGAGACAGGAAGTAAACAGAGCGTTACTGACAGACTGGGAAGAGAGGAGCCGCAACAATGGAGAATATGAGGAGAATAATCAACATTCAAGCAGGAAAAGCTGTTCTAGTAGAGCCTGAAACATCATCACGCATAATATGGCCTTTAAAAGTCTGAAGACAGTGCAAACGCATGTGTGCGCACCAGCGCTCGTGTCAGGTGTGCGATGAGACGCGGTGACGCTGTTGTGGTGTAAAGCTCGCCGTGGTGCCAATCTCCACACGCATTCCTCACATTCCTCACATTCCGGCGTGAGAACGCATTCCAGACTCGAGTGTGAAGAACAGAAGAGCCTCTAATGTCGGCGGCGTTGGAGACGGACGAGGTCGACCATCCACTGACCTTCAGCTATCTGCCTTTAAAGACTACAATCCACATGTAAATATGCTTTAGGATTTATATGAAATATTCACTATATATATATATTGGTCCAGCCATTTCTCCTCGTGTGAACTGAACTAGTTTGAGTTTCATGATTCGGCCGCGGTTGAGTCGTGGGATGCGCGAAGGCTAACCGAAGGAAAGCTTCTAGAAAGCGAGGGATGAGGAACAGGAGGAGAGGATTTACACCTTTTGTTTTTCACTAGCAAGCGTGAAGTACTTTCATCTGATCATCAGCCCAAAGCCTCTCACACAAGTGCACTTCCCCGTCAGACACACACTAGAACTGAGTGAAATAAACCCTTTCCTTCAAAATCATTTACACTTTATTAAGGTGTCATTGTTACAGTGTAATTATATATTTAAGTACTGAGTGATATTAAGTACTACATGTACTTACTGTAGGATTAGGATTTGTTGTAATTATGCATGATTTACTGGTGTTACTACGGTAAGTACATGTAATATATGTAACAAGGACACATTACCATTATATGAGAACTGAACTGAGCTGGACGATGACATCACGGTTTTCTCCAGAGCCGCTATCTATATAAATGAACTAAATTAATAACTTTACAGCAGAAATGAAGCATCACTGAACTGACTTAAGCTGGACTGTGACGCTGTTCTCTTCTGGACACACACTCTGCTGCATTATTGTCCTGTTATCTCTGTAAAGCTGCTGTGTAAATGAAGGAGACTCGACTGGACTGTAATATAAAGTGTTAGCGTTCCCTCTTGTCCTCCAGGTTCGGAGGCTGCTGATCCCCCGCTCGGTTCCTCAGACTATGAGCGACCCGTCTCGGCCGGTTCCGCCCAGTAGAGTCCGGTCAGACGGGATCTCGAGATGTCTGCGTGTGGAGAGTTTGCAGAACACGTGTGGAAACCCGGCTCGTGTAAGAACTGCTTCCACCCGCGCAGCGCCCACCGCCAGCCGGGGCCCGAGCGAGCCCGCGCGAGTGTGACCGCGGACGACGAGGATGGGGGGACGTCCCCCTCGCCCTACAGCAAACCCACCATCGCTGTCCGGCCCACCATGATGAACATCGACGTCACAGCCGAGGTCAACACGGACATCAACATGAACACAGAACAGGTGACTCAATCACTGAATCACTGAATCACTGAATCACTCAATCACACTGAATCACTCAATCACTGAATCACTCAATCACACTGAATCACTCAATCACTGAATCACTCAATCACTGAATCACTCAATCACTCAATCACTGAATCACTCAATCACACTGAATCACTCAATCACTGAATCACTCAATCACTGAATCACTCAATCACACTGAATCACTCAATCACTGAATCACACTGAATCACTCAATCACACTGAATCACTGAATCACTCAATCACACTGAATCACTCAATCACTGAATCACTCAATCACACTGAATCACTCAATCACTGAATCACACTGAATCACTCAATCACTGAATCACTCAATCACACTGAATCACTCAAATCACACTGAATCACTCAAATCACACTGAATCACTCAATCACACTGAATCACTCAATCACACTGAATCACTGAATCACTCAATCACACTGAATCACTCAATCACACTGAATCACTCAATCACACTGAATCACTGAATCACTCAATCACACTGAATCACTCAATCACCCTGAATCACTGAATCTCTCAATCACACTGAATCACTGAATCACTCAATCACACAATCACACTGAATCACACTGAATCACTCAATCACACTGAATCACACTGAATCACTCAATCACACTGAATCACACTGAATCACTCAATCACACTGAATCACTCAATCACACTGAATCACACTGAATCACTCAATCACACTGAATCACTCAATCACTGAATCACTCAATCACACTGAATCACTCAATCACACTGAATCACACTGAATCACTCAATCACACTGAATCACTCAATCACACTCAATCACACTGAATCACTCAATCACACTGAATCACACTGAATCACTCAATCACACTGAATCACTCAATCACTGAATCACACTGAATCACTCAATCACTGAATCACACTGAATCACTCAATCACACTGAATCACTGAATCACTCAATCACACTGAATCACTCAATCACTGAATCACACTGAATCACTCAATCACTGAATCACACTGAATCACTCAATCACTGAATCACACTGAATCACTCAATCACTGAATCACTCAATCACACTGAATCACTCAATCACTGAATCACTCAATCACTGAATCACTCAATCACACTGAATCACTCAATCACTGAATCACCTAATCACTGAATCACTCAATCACACTGAATCACTAAATCACTGAATCACACTGAATCACTCAATCACTGAATCACTCAATCACACTGAATCACTGAATCACTCAATCACACTGAATCACTCAATCACTGAATCACTCAATCACACTGAATCACTCAATCACTGAATCACACTGAATCACTTAACCACACTGAATCACTCAATCACACTGAATCACACTGAATCACTGAGTCACACTGAAACACTGAATCACTCAATCACACTGAATCACTGAGTCACACTGAATCACTCAATCACACTGAATCACTCAATCACACTGAATCACTGAGTCACACTGAAACACTGAATCACTCAATCACACTGAATCACTCAATCACACTGAATCACACTGAATCACTCAATCACACTGAATCACTCAATCACACTGAATCACTCAATCACACTGAATCACTCAATCACACTGAATCACTCAATCACACTGAATCACACTGAATCACACTGAATCCCTCAATCACACTGAATCCCTCAATCACACTGAATCACTCAATCACACTGAATCACTCAATCACACTGAGTCGCACTGAATCACTCAATCACACTGAGTCGCGCTGAGTCGCACTGAATCACACTGAGTCGATGAACCCCTCTGGTGTTTTTCGCGTGTCGGTCAAAAATTTCAATTAATGTACTATATTTTAGTTTGATGGTTCGATTTATGGTATTAAATTATATTTACACTGTATTTATAATCCATTTATCCACTTTTTGAGCATAGACCTGAAAATTAAGTTTCCAGCTTAAACTGTGGAGAATAGGGATGGGGCCGATCCGATCCAGTATCGGTATCGGGACCGATACCAGCGTAATTCACGTATCGGATTTTCCCGATCCAACCTGCGGAGATATCCGATATCCATGAGCCATGTCTGCGCTTTAACGTTGTCTGCTGAAACGACTCCAAAAGTGATTCCCGCGGCCCGCCGGCTAGTCTGCTAGCTGGCTGCAAACTGTGGAATGGATTTCCTGAACAGAGGCACGGCTCAATAAGACACAGAGACCCCCCCCCCCCTCAGGAAATCCATTCCGCAGTTTGCAGCCAGCAAACAGGATAGCATTGAGCTGCCAACATGTTCACTGTGTGGAAATCCTATGGTGGAAATACTTCACACTGGAAACACCACAGCAGAGCAAGACAGCAAAATGCAATGTTTGCAAAGCCGTATTAATTAAACCATTTGTCTGTGATGCATGTTTGCTATTCGCAGTCCAGAAGAGAAAGAGAGAGATCTCTCACGCGGTGCCACAGCGCGCACAACACGACAGCCCATCAGCATGATCGGTGATTGTTGTAAAATGCAGTCTCTACTGTTGCTAAATTGCGGGATGCGTTTAATAATAAAAAGAGCTATTAAAAGCACAAAAATCTGCGCAAGAGAAGCTGTTCCCAATGCGGCGCGCGCTCCGAAACAGACCGCAACGAGACAAGCACATTATACTTTGGGCTTCATATGCGCGTCTAAATGATCAAATGTAGCCTACACAAAAATGTCAAAATGACCGGCTTGGAGATTCACTTAAACAGTTTATGTCTAAAATGGACGTAGTTATGGAAATAGTTGGGAGAAAATATGGTGCATCAGTAGACTATTAGATCTGCACTCGTTCTTAAAGGGGAAGCAGTCTAATAAACATGCTGACGATTGCTCCATTACTGAGAATCAAACAACAAAAGGCAAAGAGAAAATCACTCACAGCTCTTGAATGAATAACTTTAGCTTTAATAAGCATAAATCTATCTATGATAAACTTTGCAGTGCTGTTTTACTTTTGATTACTTTATTATAATTCTTTTTAGACCATACCTGAAAAATGTTAGTAGACCTTCCTGAAATTAAAGCACTGTGTAGGCCTGTATAATGTGTATCTTTGTTTAATTTTCTATCTTTTGTTTATCTATTGTTTAATATATATATATATATATATATATATATATATATATACATATATTGACATACATGCATACGTACATATCATACTTGCCTGTAGAGAGGAGTTTATTTCAGCATCATATAAAATCAACAATAATGATAATAATAATATTAAAGCAAACACAGCTCTGGTATCAGAAAAGTATCAGTATCGGGCGATATCCAAATTCAGGTATCGGGATCGGATCGGAAGTGAAAAAATGTGGATCGGTGCATCCCTAGTGGAGAATCTTGAACGCTTTAAATCACAGACTGAAGATTGATCTCTTCTCAAACACGACACTCGGCAGATTATTGTTGAAGTGAGAAAAGTTTTAAAAAGTGAACTTAAAAAAAGTTACAGAATTTTACGTTTATTGTTATTTAAAATGCACAAAAATTCTGTTTTCAATTTTTATATGAAATATATATATTTATAAAAACACATTTTACTCTAATCTAAAATCTTTCAGTCAAAAGTGACTTAAGAGCACCAGTGGGGTTAAACTCTTATTATGGCTGAATCACATTCTCCACTGCATGGGTGGAGACTGGAATGTCTTCGTAAACGCTAGATAACACACGGCCATGCAGTTTTATGTAGGCTTTACAGGAAGGCATTGATATGAACACATTCAGGCTGTTTAAACAAAGATAATTATATCACCGCCAAGGGCATTGATTCATCTCAATAGCGGACTTCACTGCAAACACACACACACACACAGTTAGTCACATAAAGGCGTCAGTAGACTCAAATGAGATGACTGATTGGTTATTTGTACTTGGGTGAATAATTGTCAAGACATTGCCTAGACATGCCTGTCACATTTTGCCAAGGTGTTTTGTTTGTGGTTTGGCGTCATGATCTCAAGGTGGATTTTTTCAATGGCAATTATTTATTGATTTACATGTTTTTATAATAAGCCGATATTAGATGGTTGTGGTTATATGTAGCTCGAAGCTACATGGCAAAACAAAAGTCATGGTTTAACCCTTGTGCAACCTTATGGACATTTTAGTTTTTTTTTTTAGTTTTTTTTTTATCATTTCACCTGTGTTAATGCCAACTGCATAAAATGTGGCACAGGTGTGTATTTTTATTGGAATTTTTCTATTTCACCCCATTTCCTTTAAAAATCAATTTTGCACTAGTAACACAAAAAAGTTCCTCTCAGGACCTTCAGGACAAAAATGAAATTTTTGCTCGCAGGGCCATTTAACTATAAAATGATGCAATCTTTGCTCATAGGCTTTCATTCTTGTTGGCAAGGCTTTAAAATTGTGTGTGTGTGTGTGTGTGTGTGTGTGTGCTTGTAATATTTAAGAGAGAAAAACTACTGCAAATCACAAGTCCAACCACTGTGTCCCAGTGGAGTTTGCTGGCATCTAATGGGTGAAATCTCACTGAAAGCTAATTTTTTTTTTGAGATTTCAACCTCAAATTTGGAACATGACTTGTTTAGATTTATTTTCTAGCAGTTTTAGAGTTCAACATGTTTCATAAAATATATATTTTATATAATATAAAATCATTTTCATAAACTTAAACCTCTATAACTTTTTTGGTTTTACTTTTCAAACTTTTTTTTTTACCTCTTTAAAAATGAGACCAAAATTTTACGACCGTTTTTTTGTCCTCTATGGACCAATGTGTATCTTTTGACGCACAAGGGTTAAATCCCAGGGAAAGCAAGAACTGATAAAGCCTGTACCTTGAATGCATTTGTAAAATGGCCTAAATGTAAATATGTGAAAAGATTCCAGTGTTTGAATTCTGCCCAAACTTATCATTGCTTCTGTGTCTCAGAGCAACCAGAAGACCTCTGCTGGACTAAAGAAAGCTCTGGATTTGGCTCCTCTGTACATCGATAGCAATGGATGTAATAGATCTCTAAGAGAAGCCATTATACAAAACGGCATCTCCGGGAAGAAGTTTTCCCCAAACGTTTGTTCACCCACTGGATTCTCCAAAGACTGCATGATTATCAGCAGTGTATTTGTGAGTCAGGAAGATGGCTGCGTTTCCCAAAATCTGAAAGAGAACGGGAGCGATGGCCCCTATAGACAGATGACCAAAGTGGTCAAGAGCACTTACACCAATGGAGATTCATGTCTTCACAACGTGACTCAAAGAACCAATGGAAACAGTGATGGAGTTACGAGTCCTCTAAGAGTATCCGTAGAGGAAAGGCAAGCCAGATCCGCACCAGGGAATGGGACGCCAAGTACGCCATCTCCAATGACTCCAGACTCCTTCCATGAAAGCTTGTCGGACTCGTGCTCCAATCGGAGCAGCACGGATTCATTACCGGGACCTCAAAACTCAAGCGCTCCGCCAAACGGGCTTGAGGAAAGCGAGCCGATCTACGCTGAGAGCACTAAGAGGAAAAGGCGAACGCCGTGCGACGGGAAGGAGTCTGAAACGGAGCTCAACGCAAGCGACTCTCAGAGAGCAACCATCACAGTCGTAGCCGCCCACACCGAAGAAAACAACAGGACTTTTTACCTAAGCAGCCCGGATTCTGCCGTAAGCACTCAGTGGACCCACTTCAGCCCGACGGCGCCCAAAGACTCGTCAAGCCCGGCGTTCACTTGGCCGGACGCAACCGAAGGAACTTCTAACGCCTCCCAACCCAAGCCTCAATCCAGTCCCCCAGTTCCTCCTAAGATTAACTCCCGTCCTCCCAGACTTGGCACCTCCAGTCTTTCCCTACCGCTACCCGAGATAAGCTTTACCATGGTTCTTTCTCCAAAAGAAATGGCTCCCGTTCCTTCCCAAGTGGACTCCATTGCTGCAGTTCGCTCGGCTCCGGTCCGTAAACACCGGAGTATGGAAGACTGTATTGACGAGGCGGAAGAGGAGGGAGAGTCTGAGAGATCGGGCTCCTGTACCCGTCCGGTTGAGTCCATCAATGGTCCCGCTGTTCGGGGGTTTGTGTCCAGAGAATGGAAGAGCGAGAGCAGTGCGACGCCAGGCACCGGCAACAAAAGCACCAGTCAGACTCCGGCTGGCGTCCCAGAGAAGAACGGGAAAACCAGCGAGAGCACCAGAGCTCATCTCCACCAGACCACCGAACCCAGCGCCGGTCGAGATCCCGTTCCGCCGCCTCCACCTCCCAAAAAACACCACCGGTGAGCATCGCATCCTTCTTTTGTGCTGCTTGCCATGTTGGTTTTACTAACCTTTTTGTCCTTTAATTAGATTAGTGCTATTGGAATTATACATCAAAAATTTGACTCTTACAACTTTTGATACCCTGGTTTTGGAGAGTTGGGTGGAGTATAAACACCACCGGTGAGAATTACCTACTTATTTTGTGCTGCTTGTTGGTTTTACTAGCCCAGATTGATGGTATAGATGCGTATCCAGTATAATGGAGCTACTATACTGGAGACAGACTCTTAGATGAGTGCTATCGGGATTATTGGCCTCTACAACTGAACTGGGAAGCTCTTTTGATACCCTGGTTTTGGAGAGTTGGGTGGACCATAAACTGTTTTATTTGTTTTCCCCATAACATCTGCATTGCTTTCTCTTGCCATGTACACACTACCAGTCACACTTACTGCAAGATTTCTAATGTTTCTGAGAGAGTCTCTTCTGCTCTCCAAAGCTGCGTTTATTTGATCAGAAATACAGTAAACAGTGTAATATTACTCCAGTGTAAATCAGCTGTTCTCTATGTGAATATACAGTAAAGCGTAATTTATTCCTGTGATCAAAGCTGAATGTTCAGCATCATTACTCCAGTCTTCAGTGTCACATGATCCTTCAGAAATCACTCTAATATGAGGATCTGATGCTCATAAACATTTAGGATTATTATCAGTGTTGGAAACAGTTGTGTACATTTTTATTTCAGGATTCTTTGATGAATAGCATTTGACAGAAATAGAAAGCTTTTGTAACATTAAACACTACCGTTCAAAAGTTTGGGGACAGTAAGAATCTTTATTTTATTTTTTGGGGGAAATAAATAAAAGTAATCTTGGATTAATTAAATGTATCAAAAGTTACAGTAAAGACATTGATAGTGTTACAAAAGATTATATTTCAGATAAATGCATCAATTCTATTCATCAAAGAATCCTGAAAAAATCAGTTTTCAACACTGATAATAATAAATGTTTCTTGAGCATCAGATCCTCATATTAGAGTGATTTCTGAAGGATCATGTGACACTGAAGACTGGAGTAATGATGCTGAACATTCAGGAAAATGTTTATATGGTTGTCAACTAATGAGACGCTACATTTAGTTCAAAATCCACTGGATGTTCATTAAACATCAATGCTTTTCGACTTTAATAAGATTTCCCCAAGAAATGAGCAAGAATGAATCTGGTGATCTTTATGATTCATCTTCTTTCTGACAACAAACCACTTGAACTTGACAAACTCGTCATTTCGACTTCAGAAATAGCACAAGATTTTCATGTACACTTTCCAATAGCACATCAAACACTTGTTTTTGTTTTTTGTTCCATGTTTTTTTTTTTGTCGTATACCAGGTTATTTTACCGAGTTTAAAACCTCGTAGTATTGCTTCTTATCGTCAGTGTGAGTTCTGTGTTGGTTTTGTCACCGATTGTGAAGGATTCCTTGTGAAATACTCGTTTTGTTGTCTTGTATTGGCCCATAATTGATCCTCAATGCCATAAGGGGATGGGATAGCTTGAGCTTTATTTAGATGATTATTCCAGCCTGCTTATCTCTGATATAGTTGCTTGTCTCCTGAGTCTCAGGCCGGTGCTGGTCTCTCGCTTCTACGCATTGTGTGTTTTCTGTGAGGTTTATCAGCCATTCATCAGCTCTGAATACAGCGCCTGTGCGACTCGTTTATAGCGATGCTTATAACGAGGGCTTGTCTTGTGCGCTGAGTGTGTGTGTGTGTGTGTGTGTGTGTGTGTGTGTGTGAACTCGATCTGCTCGCTCTGTGAGGATGGGATTGGTCTCGCTCGGTCCTGTAATATACGTGTTAACCGCTTCACCTTTAGAGAAGCGCATGCTAAGCCACATCTCTGAGCTATTCTCATTAGCGTGTGTGTGTGTGTGTGGTTTATTTCTGAAACAGGAACGTCTCAGGCTGAGAGTGTCCAAATAAGCCGTGCTGAGATCGGCATGTTTTCAGGTTAAATACATCAGATGTTTTTACCATCAACAGCAAACGCGTTCTGTGGGTCTGAGATGGCGTACTCAGCACGTCCTGGGGTGTGTGTGTGTGTGTGTGTGTGTGTGTTCAGATGGCGTACTCAGCACGTCCTGGGGTGTGTGTGTGTGTGTGTGTGTGTGTGTTGAGATGGCGTACTCAGCAGGTCCTGGGGTGTGTGTGTGTGTTGAGACTGTCGGAATGAAAGTGTACAGAATGAGTGTATGGATGTGTTAAAGGTTGCATAGATTTGGGAGTTGATGAAATCATCAAGCTAAAATTACTAATTTCTATATTTAATAATTTTTTTGTGTTTTATGAACTGACACCGAAGAAGTTGTCTTTAAATCATCACTGCTAACATTAAAAATTATACATAAAAAAAATTATTTATGAAACGCCATATTTTAATGTTGTGTTAAATATTATCTTTTTATAGTATTTGATATAATATTACAATATATTATGTTTTACATTTTCATAATATTTAGTATTGAATATTTTATCATATATTTATTATATTTTAGATTATATTAAAAATATTTAATATAATACTAAAACAGATAAAATATTTTATCAGATTAAAATTCAATAGTTTTAATATATTAACTATTGTATTTTTATAGCATTTAATATAATACATATTTGAAAATCGTTTGTAATGTTTAATATAGTGATAAATATTTGATAATGTGTAATATATCAATGATATTTAATATAATATATATAAAATATTGTATAATGTTTTATAAGATTTAATATAATACTATAATACAGTAAATATTTTATCAGACATTTGATAATTGCAATATTAATTTGTTCAGACAGTTCAGATTCACAGACATTCATTAAATAGATTTTATGCTTAATATCTCATAATTTAGCAGCACATTCACATGTTTATGGTTCGATGATGTCATTTGATAGTACACATGACGTAGGTAAACAAATACTTTTTTTTTTTTAGTAATTGTTTCATTTTTTATTTTTTTTTACTTTACTTTTTTGTGCTTGTTTTATTTCATAATTATTTGGGAAACCTGCATAAAACGAACACAGGAAGTGTAAATGGGTGAAGTTATGAATGATTAATGGAGCAGATGGATGATAAATCTGCTTTTCCAGCAGGAGCAGCAGAGGCGATGTTAGTGAGAGATGTTACACACACACACACACACACACACACACGCTGAGCATCAGGTGTGTATGTTTGAGGCTCTTCGGGTCGGTTCTGTTGTTTTATCAGTAGTTCCTCTGAGCTGAAGTGTGTGTGTGTGTGTGTGTGTGTGTGTGTGTGTGTGTGTGTGTGTGTGTGTGTGTGTGTGTGTGTGTGTGTGTGTGTGTGTGTGTGTGTGTGTGTGTGTGTGTGTGTGTGTGTGTGTGTGTGTGTGTGTGTGTGTGTGTGTGTGTGTGTGTGTGTGTGTGTGTGTGTGTGTGTGTGTGTAACAGATGATCAGCGCCTCTAGTGTTTGTTTCCACGCCTCGGGACGCTTCTGTTCTCATAGAGATGATATTAGAGCTGGATATTTACAGTTTCACACTGAAAACACACACACACACACACATGTGCGCACTCGAACAGAAGCAGATTCTCGCTCGGATGCGTCAGAACCGCCGGCCCATCCTGAGGTAGGTGTTTCACTCAGGTCCTGTAGAGCTCAGGACTCATTTGCATGTGTTTGAGTGGATCATGTGTCAGAGGTCGGTTGGCTTGACCAAAGGTCACGTTTGGGCTCTTTGGTCCTGGTGTGTGTGTGTGTGTGTGTGAGAAGCTGGAAGAATCACTGTATTTGTTCCAGATCCTGATGTGTGTTTGCGTCCGGCTGGGGTTTTTTAGCACATTCGCTATGCAGTTGCTAGGGTGTTCTGGTGCTGGTTTACTGTTTTAAGTGTGTGACGTTCAGTGCTCGTGTTTAACACACACACACACACACACATCAGTGAGACGTTCAAGTTTGTCCTCCAGAGACACAGCAGGAGTTTATAGACCCATAATCACAGGAAACATAAGACACACACACACACACTCTCTCTCTCTCTCTCTCTCTCTCTCTCTCTCTCTCTCTCTCTCTCTCTCTCTCTCTCTCTCTCTCACTCACACACACACACACACACACACACACACACGCACACAGGAAATGATGCTGTTCTACTTATAGAGTTGCTCACCGCACAGAATCAAGAGTGTGTGGATCTTGTTAGCCCTCTATTGCATGAAATATTAATTAGACATGGTAAAAAATGTTTTGCATGTTTTTATTACTTAAAATGAGCTAAATAACAGATATATTTAAAAAAATCTAAAAAAAAGTTTAAAGTTTAAAGTAAAAGCCATATGGCAACAATATGCAATCGTGGAAAGTACCATAAAATCCACATTTTTTTCAAAAAACTCATTTTATTTAAAACAAGTCTCAACAAATCCATCTCATACTTAGTGCAATGTTTAAACAAACATTTATACAGTAAAAACATTATATAATTTCAACAATTATCTGAAATGTCTGGTAATAATAACCAGGAACCTGGAACCTGTCTCACTGAAATACACTGTATTCATTCGTTTCATTTCATTCAGTCAGTCATTTTTTGCTGTTTTATTTAATTTCATTCTCTTCATGCCTTGTGAAAGTCAACAAAGCAGTTCCTCTCTACAGTGAAGCAGAGGAAAACTGCACACTTGCAGCACTTGCTTCTCACAATGCCCTTGCATCCTGGCATTTTGCATCTGCCCTTCTCAGATGCATGCAAGGGCCAGTGGTCTGTGCGGTCTCTGCGGACAGGATCTGGCGGGACAAAGCTTTGGGGCCCGCTTTTATTTTCCCCCACCACAACAGCTTGTGAAGGTCTCCCCTTCCTCTTGTTTCTCACCTTGCTCTCCACGCACAAGCATGAGGCCACTTGGAAGTAGCTTAGATGCATCTTTTATGGAGAAAATGGGATGATATGTTACAGATAACCTACAAAATAGCTTAAATCACAAAATATAAAACATTATAATGTTTTTACCTTTAAAATATAAGCAAAAGTTGTAAACATAGTCTCAGAGTAGTTTCATGTAAGTCAATGGGACTCCATTAGGTTGAATGCACCAGGACGTTTCCATATTTGCATGTAGTTGCCATATGGCAACAAATGTATTTTAGCATATTACAAAAAATGTCTAAAATCAAAACCGAATTTAATGTTAAAAAATTAAAGTTTACTTACCCCAGATAGTGATGTCAATTTTTTATTTGATGAAAACTTTTAAAAATTCGGAATAAAAGGCTATCTTGGGGAGCCCCAAAGTAATTGTTGCCATATGGCAACACTATGCAATAAAGGGTTAGTTGTATCACAGATCTGTTCAGTTCTTCATTTATTTTTATTTTATTTTTTAATTCTGCAGTCGTTATCACTGACTTAATACACCTTCGTGTTGTCTGAGA